CGCATCTTGCCTGGCTTATTTCCGTGACTGCTTACTGGTCGTTCTGCTTCAGCCTGCCCCTCATCTAGCACCAGAGTAACCGTAAACTCGAGCGACAGATCATGCCACGCTTCTGCTCAAAACTCTCCATATTACTCCTGGCAAAAGCCAAATTTCTAATCATTGGGCTAATAATGCCTTAATCAACTCTTCCTTGTACAGGCACATATTAGGGGCCTTCTTGCCTCAGGGCCTTTGTACTTGCTGCTCTCTCTGTAGACACAGTGGCTCTCAGCCTCTCGTCGTGTGCGGTGGACCCCCAAGGCAGTCTGTGGTGTTTGTGGGCTCCTTCTAAGTGTAATGTCTTCAAACCCATAAAAATGAGTTACATAAATAATAAAGGAAATGAATTATATTAAAATACAACCCTCAAAATATTTTAAATGGGTAAATAGCAATATACATTTCTTATTAACTCATTAAATTACAAGAACTAGCAGCATTTCGAAGCGGTGATGAGTATAATATTTTAAGACGTTTGCAACAACTATAACGTGACATGAAAATATCTGATTTCTACTAGCGACAATGTCACCGGTGCTGCTAATGTCGCTGTGATTTGCGGTCTACATTTACAATCAAAGAACGTGCTGAATTTTCATTAGTGAAAAAATCATTTTTTTTCTCTTCTTAGATTACCACCCCCTGAATTCTATCCACAGATCCCTGGAAAGGGGTGCGTGGACTCCGGGTTAAGAACCCTGCCCTTAGGATGCTCTTCCCCTGTTCAGCCCTCACAACTTACCCCTTCACGTCCTTTACTCCAAAGCCACCTTCTTGGTGAGCTCCTCCCCGAGGACTGTATGGAAATTGCATCCCCAGTCCCTCATTGCCCTTTCCCACTTAATTTTTCTCCATAGCAATTACCCTCAAATATGATATATATTTTTTACCTTCTAAAAAAAAAAACATGTACAGCTCCTTGCACCAGAAAGTGGACTGCATGAGAGTGGGCACTTTCATGTGGCACCTGGGTGCCGCGTTCCCAGCACACGAATGACCCTGGGCACACTGGAAGCGCTCAATCAATATTTGTTGGGAGAAAAAAAGACTGATTATATCTCTAAGAACTCCATGCTTTCCTTTTTTTTCTGTGAAAAGTTAATGATTTGTGAGACTTTTAATAAACATTAAAGAGTTATAATTAGCTTTACGGTTATCGTTCTGTTAACATTTCCAAGGTTAACCTTAAACAGTAGCAGAGAGCTGTAGAAAGCCAAGGATTTTGATGCAGCTTCCAGTCCTAAGCAAGAAGTGTCTTCCAAGGACTTTTTAGGGGACACGGGTCATATTCAAACTCAGGAAAAGCTACCTCAGAAGCAAAATGCTGCCCGTAGATTCTTTCTTACCTATATAGCAACCAAGCCCCCATCCACAATCAAACCAACGATACGGATACTTTTTATTTCTGGCAGTGTGGTAAAATGGAAAACCCATGGGTTTCAAGGTCAGCTGGGCTAGGTGCCAATTCTGTACCACTTGCTAGCTGTGTGACTGGGGGTAGGTAAGTTACTACACCGCTCTGAATAGTACGAGGATGCAATGGGACGGCTCACACAGGGCACAGCACAGAGCGGGCGCTCTGTCACTGGGCATTCCCTCCTTCTCCGATCTCTCTAGGACATATTTTCACAGCTTGCCAGGGTTCGTGGAATCCTGATGGCTAAGAGGAGCCTGTCCAGTCCGCTCCTTGCACGTAAACGCTCTGCAACTAGACCTAACCAGAGCGGTCTCTTGGGCTGCACCCCCTTCATCGGTGCCTTCATTCCCACCTCAGGTGTGTGGCTGAGGCTGATGTCTGGACCTAGACCACGAACCGGGCCATCTGTCAGTTTCTTCTCCCAGCTTTTCCTTTTGCCCACACTGGGAGGTCTTGTGTTTGTTCTCAAAGATGGTGAGACAGAAATCACTGACCTCCAGTTTTCCAGGGTGAAGAGCTTGCAGACAGCACATTCTCTCCTCCAAAATGTGGGCTCCGGTGAAAGTGCTAATGTGCACCGTGCACCCTGAGCTGCGCCTTGTTTAACACATAGAGCATGTGTGTATATATGGTACATACATGTGCATGCACACACATGACCTGAGGAACCCAACCACCTCTGTTCCACAGACGAGGAAAAAGGGAGCCAGAGAGGAATTTACTACTGATGTCCACATCAGCAGCTGCTGAACTGAAGGGTCAGGATTAGAACCCGAGCATTTAACCATTTTGTTACTCACTCGAGGCCTGCCACCTCTGTCTCTAACCACTGAGCTTGGGGTTGGGCAGATCCTACCCACCGGCTAGGGAGAGAGAGTGAGGTCTATGGGGGAGGCGATGCCCAGCCCCTCCCTCTTGCCAGATAAGACTTCCCAGACTTTGTGAGTAGAAGGCCAGGGAGATGCTGCACTGACTTCCTTCGAGCTCCTATTTCTTTCTTGTTGCAAAAAGTGCTATTTCAGACCCACCATGCCCCTCTTTGTTATGTAGACAATCAGCCCCATCAGAATATGTGTGTTATTATGAGTTTATTATTAGATTTATTTCTCCTATAAGCAACTGTGTTCACATCAGGAATCTTAATTGTGACATAAATGTCACCTTATGTAAATTAAATATTTATCTTCCCATGGAAGGGGGTGGAGGGAAATGAAAGAATAAACAACCTTCAGTCTTGGAGAGGGGAGGTGGTTGCTGGCTCAGTTCATAGCTCAACCAATGTGCTTTCAGAGTCAAAGGTGAGCTGAAAAAATTACTGGATCATCTTTGAGGGCTGCCAAAAGGTAGGGGGAAGAAAAAGTTGGCAATGACGCCTGCGGATGTTGGGCCAGGCTCCCAGGTCTCTCCCACTCCCAAATCCCACCTGAGGCCAGACCACCTCCTCCCCAGCTGGGAGCATCCGGAGTCCGCTGCGGTTGCTTCTCACTCCTCCCCATCCAGGAGGCCAGCCCTGCTCCTTCCTCGAGAGAAGGTGAGCGCGGCGGGCACAACGGGTTGAGTGGGTGTGGCCCGCGGCTCCGGGAACAAACCCAAGGTCCCGCCACCGCTCGCGAGCCGCCCCACAGCCCGCCTGCTGGGCGAGTGCAAGCTCTTCTTCCAGAAACTGCAAGGATCCGAGCGCACTGTTTGTGCACCACAAGGTCAAGTCGGGAAGTGGAGCCGGAGGAGGAGGGGCGAGGAGGCAAAGGGTGGGGAAGAGGGGCGCCCCGCTTCCTCGCCTAGTGCCAGCCTTTGGATGTGCCCCTCGGTTTTTAACCCTTTAGGGGGAATGGGAAGGACAACCAAGGGGGAAGCTCCTCTGGGGCCAGGACATGCAGCCAGCCAGCCACCCACCCATCACTGCGTTCCCCACCCCCCGGAAATGCGGGGCAGAGCTGGGTGCCAGGAGACTCCCGGGCGGGAGGAGGGGGCGATGAACCCGAGAGGGACCCTCTCCATGGACCGCCCCTCCTTTCTTGAGGTCGCCCACAATTTCAAGTTTCCCCTGCCCCAGATGTTAGTTTCCAGCTGCTGTGGGTGGGGGAGGAGGGCCGCGCCCCCTCCCCCAGACTCGCGCGCGCCCCTCCCCTCCGCTCCTGCCAGCACTTTCTTCTCACTTCTGGCGCTGTAAAACGCCACGCGATTTATTCGATTCCCATTTTTAAACCAGCGATTCAGGAGCAGGGCCTAGGGCGAGGGTCTTCCAGCGCCGGAGCCCCGGGAGGCGGGTGCTCAGTGCAAACCTCGTTCCCTCCGCGAGTGTCGCCTTCAGGCTATTTGCAAAGAAACGTCTTTTTGACGCAGGGAAAAAATGGCAAATTTTAAGTACGTCATTAATATGGCGCCAAAAGATTTTTTTAAGTATAAGCTTGCTTTTTTTTTTTTTTTAAGGTTGCGGGGGGCGCCGCCCGGGTCTGAGGCGAGAAGGGGGCGGGGTGTGAGCAGAAAGTGTGAGTGAGAGAGTGGAGGGGCGGGGTATGTGTGTGAGTGTGTGAAGTGTGAGCAGACCTGATGGGACTTGCACGGGCGCAGCCGCCGCTCGGGCCCGGCCCTGGGGACAGGGCGGGCTGGGGGCGCCCCAGAGCCCGTGGGAAGTCCGGGCTCGAGGTGCAGGCAGGCGGGCGGCCTGGCAGGGCAACCTACCTCCAGAGGCCTGCAACGCTACCTGGACCCGCTGTTGAAGCCAAACAACTGGGCACAGGGGGGGGGGGGGGCAGGCGACGGGGGGGGGTGTCAGGAGTAGAGATCCTACTGAATAAGAAAAAAGTGGCTACTCCCCCTCCCTTGCTCCTCCCGCCTGCCCCCACCCCCACCCCAACACATTTTTTTTTTTTCTAAAGAGATCACAAGGAAGTCTTGGTTTAAAAAGAAACAGAAACATACACAGGGGTTTGGTGAATGGTGCCGACCGCGGCCATCGCAGTTGGAGGCTATTTGGGGGGGGAGGGTGAGTAGCGTCCATGGAGTTACTTTGCGCCCACTCCTAGGTGGCAAGGGCTTGGGTCCCGTGGGCTGAACCGTCCCCGGCAGGGGTGCGGGAGCGGGGACGCCGCGGGCCCCGCCGCCTCCTTCGCCGCGACCCCGGATGGATGCGCGCCCCCCGCCCGCCCGCGCCGGCCCCAGGAGCTCCGGATTTCGGGAGCATCCTTCCCGCGCCGGCCCCTGCCACGGCGCGTAGCCGAGGGCAGCGCCCCTCGGAAGGGCACCACGGAGCAAGGTAAGATTCAGCCCCCGGCGATGGGCCCTGCGCATCTCCACAGCGTTATTTTGTGTTTTTGCAACAGATCTGCCAGCGCTCCTCGCTCTCTCTCTCTCTCTCTCTCTAGCTCGCTCTCTCGCTCCCTCTCTCTCCTGCTGGCTGCCTGTTCTAGGAAGCCAGCGCGCGGGGGGAGGGGGGATGCACAGCACAGGAGAGAGAGATTGCGCATGTTGGTCAGTCGTGTTTAAAGAGTACATTGCGGGGAGGCTGAGAGGGGCGCATGCAACAACAACTTTTGGAAGGGTGAGTTTGGCGACCTTCTTTATTAATGACTGCGGCAAAGCGCCCCCAGGCCGGCAAGGGGGCGCGGGCGGGCGGGGGCGCGCCGGGGCTGCAACTTGCCCCGCGGCTACAGCCCGGCAGAGGGGCTGCGGCGGGAGACCAGTGCTTTGAGGAGAGGTCGCGCGGCCGGGGAGGAGGGTTCAGAGGAACCGGAGCTAACTGCCCTCCTGTCGCCCCGAGTTTCATTTTGTTGATACGCAGCACGTCCGGGCGCCGAACCGGGCTGAGCCGGTGCACATGACCCGCGCTGGGCTCACGTGCAGCCGGCCAGGTCCCAGACACCTTCCTGGGGCCACCGCCTCCGCCCTATCGCCCCCTCTCTGGGTTGGGTGCACGCGGGCGCTGCACGCGGGGGCAGCATGCTCAGCTCCGGGGCGCAGAGGCTCTGCACAAATTAAACAGATTTTTGTAGGGGTGGGGGACGCCCTTTCCAGGTAAGTATGTAGGGTGCGCAGCCCCGGCCCGGGGGATGCGGGCTAGGTCAGGGGAAGCTCCCCCCTCCGGGGCTGCGCGGGAGTCCGGCGGGGGAGAAGCGCTGGGAGAGTGGAAATGTACCCGAGGCGGTCGGAGCGGCGGGTGCGCGCCCGCGGGGCGACGGCAGGGGGCGTGGCCCTTGTTTACCTTCTCCCAACTCAGCCGGTTCGCGTCCCGCTCCGGGGATGGTTCTGCAGCCCCTGGCCCTCCGCCTCCGCCCCTGCGCCCTGGGTGGTACCGGGAAGACGTAGGCAAGTGGCAGCCCCAGCCTGGACTTAACACACCGGACCCCAAAATGAGTGACACTGCAGCCCCCGCCCCCACCAAGCACCGCTGCAGTCCCTCTCCCGGATCCCCGGCCCCGCCCCCGGCAGTGGCATCTTCCCGGCCTCACCTCCTTCCTCTCTTCCTCTCCCTCCCTCCTTCCCACCCACTCGCCTGCGCCTGCGGAGCGGCTCCCGCCCGCCACCTCCCGCCTGTGTGCAGACTTGTGGCTCCCTCCGGTCCCTTCCCGCCCATCCTGGGCCCTAACACACCCTCTTCTCCAGGCCAAGGGGTGAGAGGGGGTCAGCCTGTTATGTCTGAAGATGGGGATGTCTGTGAGGCAGGCAGGCAGGAAGGCTTCACTGTACCTTCCAGAGGCCCAGAACACCCCCCCCAACACACACCCAGTTCCGTATCAAATACAGCAGTTCACCCCCCAAGAGGCGCGAGGCCCTTACCCGCTTCACCTAAACCCCTTCCCCTGCCCCAGGTGTCCAGTCCACCTCTCGGCGCTGCCCTCGGCACCAACAGCTTCTTGCCCTTCCTTGGCCTGGGCCGGAGCCCCCCGCAGCCACCTCCGGCTCCTCCTCCCAGCTCCCGCGGTCGGAATCACGCCGGCGCGCCTCCAGCCTGCCGTCCCGCGGACCGCCTCCAGGGGCAGGCTGGAGGCGCGTGCCATCCTCCCCCCCCCCCGCCCCTCCCGCCCAACCCCGTACCCTCTGCCACCCGCCGGGGCAGTTGACTTTTCTTTCTTTCTTTTTTTTTTTTTTTCTTACTGTCTTCGCTGCAAGTCTGGTGCCCAGGGCTGATGGGGGCGGGAAAGGCCATGTTTCCCTTCGCCCGGTGCCAAGGGCACGCTGCAGCCGGAAACTCGGGTCTCTGCAGATTTACAAACCTTGCCCCTGCACTCAGCACACCCCCTCCCCAACCCCTGCTCAAGTGCAGGATTCTGAGACAGAGTGTCACCCAGAGGCGGAAACTCCGCCGCGGGGTCATCAGGGGCCATCATATTTGCACTCAGCATTGCCGAAGGGGGTGGGGAAGCGCTGAGTAGGCGTGGCTGGCTTTCCCTATTACCTTTGCTGAAAGGGGAGGGTCCCTGACCTTTGAGCCCAGGCAAGCTGTCAGGAAGCCCCCTTCGCGGTTCTGCTCGAAAACTGAGTTCTGGACCCCCGTGGTGGTAGGGCTACCTGGCCCCTCTTCCTAGAGCGGTATTAACTCCCTTCACTGGTAAAATTCCCAGTAGGACATTTGGCAAAAGGGCCTGACAGGGAGCTGCCAGCCAGGGCTGGCCCTGTTTCCTGGGTTCTCAAGGTGCTGGCTTCTCCCCTACCCGACTTCCTCTCTCACCTCAGGGCCCCAAGTGAACGCATCATCCCTCCTGTCCCATCTTCATGGGGCAGGTTGGGACCCGCCAGCAGAGAAGGAAAATAACAACAGAATAACTGTAAGGGGAAGGAATGAGTAATGAAGCCTACCCAGGCAGGGAGGAGGGCTTTCATGTTTAAGAGATGCTATTTGCTTTTTAGGTCACAGGCTGCAAAAACAGGCTTTGATCCGAAGTGGGCGAATAATTTATTGAGAAAGTTTGCATGGTAGAAAAAAAAGGGCTGTTTGTTTGATCTGGAGCCCTCTTAGTTGTCCGAAGTGCTGTTGGCTGTTGTTCAGAGTGGAAAAGCATTTGGTTCCACAGCAAATGCCTCGCAGAGGGAAGCCCTCGCCCCAGGCAGCAGGACTTGCAGGGAATGTTGGATGTGAAACTGTTTGGCCAAGGGTCTCCCCAGCACTTTTGGAGATGAAGTGTTTAAGGATAAAGTTGTTTGGGCTTGAGATGCAGCAAATGTTTCCAGAGTGTTTCCCATCCAACAGGCTTTTCCTTTCCCTAAATTGCCTGGCTGAACAGCCAGTAATGCCGATCCAAGGGGCTGTCAGAAATCTCACTTAGCTTTTATGGCAGGTGAGGTGGGGCGGCTGGTGCCCAGCCCCCAGGTGCACCTCGGAGTGGAGGTTGGGCGTTTGACGCTGACTTCCACATCCTGGAGTTTGGGGGCAGGGTGTTCTGGTTAACTGACGTTCCAGTTAACAGGGTGACGGCTGTCTTATGCCCAAGACCCAGGCCTCCAGTCCAAATTTGCCCCAGTTCATGCAGCAGGCTCTCTGTGGGCCTCACACTTCTCCCTTTAGGTTCGCTAACGGAAGGCTGGGTCCGAGCTGTGAGGAGGGGAGTACAGCTCGCTTTCCCTACCCTCCACCTAGGACCCTTCCCATGTGGCTCAAAGCCTAGGACTCCAGGAAGGTTCTCAGACAATCCATGGGAACCTGGAGTACTGGCCACACTCAGGAGAGGTCGCCCAGTGGGATGGGGTACCCCATCTGGGGTTTAGCTTTGAACGCTGGCTGTACTCACCAGCATGCCAGCTACTCTGTGCCTCAGTTTCTTCATCTATAGATAGGGTCAATGACAGTACCTACCATAAAGAAGACTAAACCCAAAGCCAGGCATGTGGTAAGCGCTTGATTAGTATTAGTCATTCTATTATTAATGACCTGGAGAGGGTCCAAATGCAGCTTTGACCTTTGATCTCTCCCCTTTAGGCTTGGCTGAAGAGCCAACCCCCTTCTCTGAAGAAGGGGTCAGAAGGACCCTGCAGTTGCCAGTGGGCAGCCATCTGTGGGAGCAAGCGGACTGAGCTCTGCCCTCTCTGAGGTGGAGAGTAGGGCGAGAGGTGCCGAAGGACAAAGTAGACAAAGCCCCTTTCGCGCTCCCAGGATCCCCTTGGTATGTCCTCAGAACTGGGCCTGGAGGGTGGGTGCGGGCTGCATGTTGCAGGGGAGCTGGGTGCACCCCAGGACACTTGGAATTGTAGGTGGGCAATGATGGGTGTTGGAGGAGAGGTCGGGCTTCCCTGTGTGCGGAGAAGCAAGTGTGAGGGTCTGTGTACAAAATCATTTCTGTAGCGGCAGTTACTGCCCCTGAGAAGGCATTAACGTTAAAGAGAGATAGGAAGGAGCCGGGCCCTGACCCCTGTTTCAAGTCGTTAAAGACTAGCAGTTCTTGTTTTCTGAATGTCTGGCCTTCCCGACACAAGGAGGCTCTGAGGACAGGTTTTCCAGCCGAAATATCATTAAATTGTATTAGCATCTTATTACACACACGCCTTAGTGGTCTGCCTCAGACAGGGAGAGTTTTTGTTTCTCTTTGAAAGATTGTGTCTGGAATGGTAAATTGCCTGCCTGAGAGCCTCCCCCACTCCCCTTTTTTGAGGGAGGAAGACGAAATCCTGCTGCGTGTGGTGGCGGTCGGGGCAGGCCTGGTGGCCCCCAGAGAGGAGCGGCCGGAGGCCAGGTTGGGGTGTTTTAACTGCCCGGGGAGCGGCTGCAGTAGCAGGCCTGAAAGGCCCACTGTTCCCAGGGTCAGCTGGAAGGGCGTTAATGGAGGCCCGGGGTGTTTATTTGAGTTTATTTGCAGAGAGGTCTTTAAAGGGGGCTGGCACTGGGCATTGGTGTTTCAAGTCCAGACCCAAGGCCCCCACTAAGACTAGTGACTGGCGCTGCCAAGAAAACATCTGCCACCAAATTGCTGCCCTGTTACTGAGTTGGCACTGATCGTTAGCCAAGAGCCCGACCAAATAAAGAGCCCTGGAAAATGTGTGAGGTTAAGATGGGGAAGAGGGCTGTGAGAACAGGGCGAAATCTTGGGCTGGGGTGTTTGTCCTGCGAGCTCCAGGCAGGCCCGCTGGACTCTGCGGTCCCCGCACGTCTACAGGGAGGGGACGAGAATATCCTTGGCACTCTGCATGTATCGAGCCCCTGTCACGTGCTGGGTGCCGTGCAAGGAGGGCGCTGTGGCTCTAGCAGGGATCCAGGTGGGCTCACTCCTGTGGACCCCTTGTTCCGGAGGAGGTTTGACAGGTAGATTAGCAAACAAACTGGGGTGGGTGCCCTGAAGATGCTGAATAACGGGCACTATGTGTAGAGCCTGTGACATTTCAGCGGAAACCTGAGAAATGAAAAGTCAGACGTACCCTGGCTGCAGGGAGCATTACAGGCAGAGGGTACTCGGGCTGCATAGGGGTCCCAGAGCGCCGACTGTGGGGCTTGTGTCAGGAAATGCGAGGAGGCAGGTGTAGCTGGAAAGTGGGGGGAAGGGCTGCTGGGCAATGTGCATTCGTGAAGGTTAGGGATGGTCTCGTGGTCAGGGGCTTGAGTGTTACCCTTTGGTCAGCAGGAAGCCTTTGAAAGATTTTACATAGGGGCATGACATGGTCTGATTTATACTTTTTGAAGCTCGTTCTGGCTGCTGCATGGGTCCTGGATTGTGAGGGAGCGAGGCAGGAGCTGGGAGGTCAGTGAGGAGTCCAGGTGGGAGGCGGGAGGGCTTGGACCGGCTTGGGGGCAGGAGAAACGGGGGAAGGTGGATGGGTTCATGGTGCGTCCTGCAGGGAGAGCCCACTGGGCTTGCCAAGGGTTGGCTGTGGGGTAGAGGATGCACAGAGAGGCTGTGGGGATGCTGCTTCATTGGGGTGATCTTCTGACACCCACACTCCCAAAGGAGAGCTTCCTATCTGTGTCTCCATGCTGGGGACAGTGTGGGAGGGGCAAATGGAAGGAAAGGGATCTTTCATTCCTTGAGTTTCCCTTGTAGGGGGGAGGAATGTGCCTTGTGACACCCTCCCCCTGCCCCCTACAGAGCAGACCTTGCTCAGGGAGAACCTGGAGAGGCCAGTGGAGAGGGAAAACCTAGAGGCCAAGGTCAAGTCTCAGCATCCCCAACCCCCACCTATATTTGCAATCTCTGATGTCTTTTGGTAAAGGAGTCCTCCCTGTCCCCCTTGCTAGGATGGACAGTTCGGGTTCATGGGGCAAAAGGCTGTCCTGCAGGAGAGCCCAGGCCTCATCTGGGGCTTCATTAGCCACTGACCTTGGACACTCACCTGAGGCAGGGAGGCCTCTGGGACAGACTTGGTTCAAAGGCGAGAAACTTCACTCACCGACAGTGACTTTCCTCTGAAGCCTAGTTATTGTTTCAGTCAGGCCACCACCAGATCTGTTCCCTTAATAACACCGGGCCCAGGAGGACTCTGGACTGTGTGACAGAGGGCAGGGTGGACGGGCACTGGCCGAGGGTGGGGTGCAGGTCTGCACACTGGCAGGTCCCGGGCAGCAGGACACAGTGTTACGAGAAAAGTGTTGGCAGTCAGGGGTCCTCGTATAGAGGGCCTTGCCTACTGTGCAGCGTCGCCTCTGAGGAGCCCCCCAGGTGGGCACCGGTAGGAGGTCTCTACCTGGCCGAGGGCCGTCGTGGTATTCATAACCAACACCTACGTGGAGAGCCAGCCACCTCGCTCAGGGCCTTCTGCTGCTCTCATTTACTTTCACCAGCTGATTCTGGCCCAAAGATGTGTTTAGTTTGGCCCTCTCCGGGTGTTTTTAAAGTTCTGAATCAGTTGCCAACATTTTAAGTTCAGGAGATTTATGTAGAAATCCAGATCCAGTGTGCGTCCTCGGGGAGGTATGTATTTCCCATGGTCCCTGGTCTGGCGAGGGGTGTGGCTTGTGTACCATGTGAAAGCCAGGCTTGGAAGTGCCCTCTTTGCTAGAAATGAAGAGAAATGCGATTCCTGGACAGCCCACTGCAGGGGGAAGCAGGTGGGTGCCTTGGTAGCGCCTCTCCCCAACTCCTACCCGACCAGTAGGGTAGGCAGCTGGGTAGGGAGGATGTAGCTTAGGGTCAGGGCTTTGTTTAAACTCATTCTCTGACCCCAGAGGACAGCAAGGATGGGCGACTGTGGGTGGTGGAGGCAGGGAGGCTTAGAGGTCAAGAGCGTGGCCTCGCAGGTCAGGTTTCTTAAAAGCACTGCAATCTTGGGCAAGTCACTCCACCTCTTTGCTTTGTTTTCCTCATCTGCAAAAGGGGAGCAGCTTTCATGCCCGCCTGTACCCAGGGTCTGTTCTGGGGGCGTTGTAAGGTCCCCGTGTACCACAGCGTCCCCCACCCAGGACACAGTCAGTTGTCCCCACCACCTGGCCACCCATGCAGCTCATACTGCCGGGCATCCCTCCGTACCTGCACCCCTTCTGCAGACCCCTTATCTGTACCTTCAGAGCCGGGCCATACAAAGCCCCAGGGAACCTCCCTGTCATCTGGAGCTCGCTGTTGGGGGACATGGTGGCAGGTCTAGTCCGAGGCAGGTGGGCCCTCCTGGTCAGCTCAGAGGTTTGCAGGGCTGCATGCAGTAGGAGAAGGGGAACCCCAGGCCTGGCATGGACAGACTTGGGGTGTTGGCAGGTAAGAGATAGGATCATAGGCGGGCTGGGAGCCTGATAGGCCTGCGGCTGGGCTGGGCAATGGGGCTTTTTCCCTGCTGACACTGGTTCCTTGTAAGCAGGGAGGTGGCCCTGGTTCCAGACTGGAACAGGGTGGAAGGTCTGGAGACCCGGGGCAGTTTAACAAGCCACTCGGGGTGCTCCCCTCCGAGAGGGGACTGGAGCAGACTTGGCCACCCAGGTCTCTGCGGGATTAGAGGAAATAGCGGGTGGGAAAGCACTGCCAATAGGCAGGAGCTGATGAGGGCAGTTTGGTGCGGGCTTAGGGGTCAGGCCAAGTGGATTCAAATCTGAGTTCAGCCAGTTACTAGCCAGACAAGGCATTGAGCCTCCCCAGTAAATGAAGCTAATAGCTCACAACTCAGCGGGTTGCTAGGAACTGGAGGCGGCCGAGAGAGCATGGGAGAGGAGTGAACTGAGTGTGGGAGAGCCGCCCTTCTGAGCTTGAAGTTAAAGACCGCAGTCCAGATATAGTTGGTTTGTACTTTTACCTGGAGAAGGGCCCTGGGGGCTGGCGGGAGCCCAGGACCAGTCACCCCTGGGCCTGGTGTGTCTCAGGGACCCAGCTTGGAGCCTCCCTGTCCCCACCGCATCTCCACCTTCCTGGTCACCCCTTTCAGGACGTGTCCTCGGTGCTGACGGGGATGGCTTGTCCATAAACTCAGGCAGCATGGTCCTCCTGGAAGGATCCACCTCATTTCCTCTGCCCTCCCTCCCCTCCTCGGCACCCAGTGAGGCAGCAGTCGCAGCTTTGGGGTGGGGTGGGTTCTCTGATGGGCCTGGGTTTCCTCGAGAGGAAGCTGGTTCTGGGCAAGTCCTGTCGTCTTAGGCTCCCGCTCCTCTGAGGCTCTGGACTCAGGAAGCGGGGTGTGCAGCCTCCTCTCCCCTCCCCCACCCCAGGGTCGGGGGGGAGGTGGGGGGGTTGGCCGGGCAGGGTGAGTGTGGGGAGGTAGGTTTCTGGTGATTTTCGGGGGATTCGAGGGTTTCCCGAGCTGCCTGTAAGTACAGTGGGGCCTGCCTTTCGTTACAGATGGAAGAGAAGAGGCGAAAATACTCCATCAGCAGCGACAACTCTGACACCACTGACAGTAAGGCCTGCCATGTGGGACTCCTCTGGGGAAAGCCCGTGAACAGTCACCGGGCCCACAGCCCGCATGGGGAGTGGCTGCTGTGGTCTTGGTGGTGATGAAGGCATAAACTGGACCAGGTCCCTCTGCTCGAGGGAAAGTGCCCACACCACCCTGGCCCCCGGGACCTCGAGGTCCTCTTTGCTCCACTCCCTCTACCCTGAAGAGGGTCTCGGCCGCACCTGTTTGGCTCTGGTGGGGACAGACCTGCTCCCGTCTGGGACTCTGCCTCTGTGGCCCTGGCTCCCAGGGCACACCCCCTCCCTGTGGCCTCCTGTCGAGTCAGGGCCCTAGAGGAGGCCTCCACACGGCCCAGAGAAAACCCGTCTGTTATAATTACCTGATAAGTATGGTTACCTAATAACTGGTAAGCTCCTTGTTCAGACGGGTCGTGTCTTGCTCGCTCCTCATCCCCAGCTTGATCTGGCGCGTCGCAGGTGCCCAGAGAGTGTTTGCTGAAGAAACAAGGGAAGGGGTCTGACCTTCACGGGGTCTCTGTGATGGGCTCTCTGAGGTAGGCTAGTGTATGGGCTGAGGGTGTCCTTGGGATGTCTAGGGGTCGGGGGACATTGTCGAGGAGAAAATAGGGCTCCCTCTTCTGAGATCTGGGGCACAATGTAAGGCGAGAGCTTTTCTGTAGTAGCAGCAGGCAGCTCTTCTCAGCTGTCCCAGGAGCAAGGAGTTCCACGCTGCCCCGGGGAGGAGAGACTTGCTGCCAGGAGGATCCTGCCTGGTGGTGGAGGCCGGTGGAAGGAAGCCCAGGCTGAGGAAGAGGCTGCGTGGCCAGGGAGGCGGGGCCTGGAGCCCCACTGCCCCAGACCTGTTGGTTCACAGAGATAATGAGCACCCGGGATTAAGGAGACGGCTGAGGACCCGTAGAGCTCCCAAGATCCACATCTTCCCCCCGAGGGCCTGAGGCAGGTGCACTAGTTTGGCAGGTGTGGTCCCAGTTCCTGCCCCCTGCCCAGGTCTCATTCACTGTTCTCTGGGGTCTGTCGGCTCAGCTTGGCTCTGGTGTCAAACCTGGCCAGCCCTTCCTCCCTGTGGCAAGAGACCGCAGCATCCTGCTCTCTGCGGCGGTGACCACACTGCCCGTGGCCTGGCTCAGCAGAGCCAAGAAGAACAGCATCCTCTCGACTTCACTGCCTGCAGAGGAGCCCTCGAGGGCCGCGCACCTGCAGGAGGTGGGCCTCTGGGCCGCGATAGCCGCATTGGATCCAGGCTGATGCACATTCTTTTCTCAGCAGCCCTCCGCCACTGTGCCCACCCGTGGCTGCTGCCCCTTTGACCCGCAGGATGGAGGCCATAGCCCTGTCGTTCATCAGGGGCCTCAGGTCTCCGTGACATTAGCTGATACAGCACCGTGTGCTGAGACGGCAGGCGTGATAGCCTCTAATTCTCACGACCACCCTTCGAAGGCAGGCGGTCAGTCTCCTGCCCCCCATTTTATAGAAGAGCACCCTGAGGCCCAGAGAAGCTGTTGTTTGCCCAGGGGGGCAAACTAGTAGGTGGCTGAGCCAGGGCTCAGGCCTGGTCTGTGGGTCTGTGGGTCTGCGGCTCTGCCCTGCCTCTGTCTGCCCTCTGGGCATTACACTCAGGAGGAGGCTAGGGACCTGAGGGGCCAAGGGACTTGTCGTGGGTTACACGAGAAGCTAACATTGAGTGCCAGTCACTGTCTTTTATTTCCCTAGCCCCTTCTGGTTGGTGAGTGTAGGGGAGGTTACGTCCTCGTGGGTCATTGGAGAGGCCCTGAGTGGGGACAGGCCACCAGGCACTCACAGCGATGCCACCTCCTGCATCTTCAAGGACAGGCTTCTTGGCCTTGGGGGTGGGTGGCTGGTGTTTGTGGCCTTCCCGGGGCCCCTAATGGGCTGTTTTTTTATCTCTGCAGGTCACACTACATCTGCCTCAAGATGCTCCAAACTGCCCAGCAGCACCAAGCCGGGCTGGTCCCGGCAGAACGAGAAGAAGCCCTCGGAGGTGGGTAGTGACCAGTATTCTAGAGAAAGGTGAAGCAGGGACGGGGAGGCCAAGGAGCAGAGACCCGGGGGAGCGAGCTCCGCGGGCGAGTCGGGGAAGCACTCCTGGCAGAGGGCACAGCTGTGGCCGGGCCGGGCCAGTGTGGCTGAGGGCAATGAATGGGGGCAGTGTGGTGTCTTGTAAGTTGTAAAGATGTTTTTATTGATCTGAGCAAGAGACAAAGCCTTTCCAGGATCATCAGCAGGGCAGCGACATAGTCCAGTGTTTTAATGAAAGGAAGGTCCCACTGGCTGTCAGGACAATGGTTTGCTGGGGACACCAGTGGCAGCAGAAAGGATTCTGTTGCATTTGACCAGAAGTTGGATGATGGTGGCTTAGAGCCCAGCTGGAGCTGTGGAGTAAGAAGCAGTAGGAGTCAGGACACCTTGGAGGCTGAGCAAGGGCGACAGGATTGCTGGCTAAGGGGGGCAGGATGGATCCTCAGAATCACCCAGTTATCTGCTCCTTATTAGGCCCAGTTCACATGACTTTGCATTTTAAGCCTTCCTTGCTTTGACCTGTGGCAGGTAGAGTGGCTTCGGGAGCTGCCAGAGGGGTGGGGGTGGGGTCCTAGAATTCCACCTGGGACCTCATCGTTCTCTTCTAGGTCTTCAGTGTGTTTCTCTGGGCACAGAAGAGGCCGTGGGAGCACTAAGTCTCTGAGAAGGTGGGGGTTTTGAATTGAGCCTTTAAGAGAAGCATTGGCTACAGCCTACATACAGGGTAGACCGGCATTGGGCTGGAGGCTTTAGTTTTTTAATCCTTAAAGATGCCGGCACAGAGTTCTCAGTCCTGTTATAATAGGGTAACTGAGGTTCCCAAAGTTACAGAGCCAAGACCTGAAGTTTGGGGGGCCAACAGTGCCTAGAGTGAGAAGGTCCTTGGCTTGGGGTCGGGTGGGGGTGGGGGGCGATGTCTGTGTTCTGAGCCTGAGCCCTTCTCTCCCCGCCCTCCCTCGGCCCCAGGAGCGGTATGGCCTAGGAGTGGTCTGGGTGAGAAGCGTCATTAGCCAGCCTCTGGGGGGTCTTCCGCAGAAACTTGCATTTGAAAAGGAACTCCCGGGGCCTCCTGGAGTTGGCAGACCCTGGGACTCGCCCTTTGTGGGGAGTGAGGAGCCTTTGAGACCTGATGCCTCCCACACCCATCCCCCAACCTGTTGTCACCTCTTGGCCGGTGGAGGAGGGGTGGAGATGGAACGAGGTAACCTCCAGGAATGCAGTCTGGACTGGATCGGAAGCTGGGAGAAGGATTCTGTTCTTGAGGCTTAGTATCTTCATGGACTAGCCCCTGGGAGGACCCCTCCTCAGCTCCACTGCCCACCTCTTCCTCCTGTCCCCCAGCTGGAGACCTGCAGGGGCTCCCCTATTGTTGTGGTTGAAATAGTGAAACAATAGCTACCTTTGTGCGCCCTAGCGGTCCTGGGAGGCCGTGATTGTCATGCCCTTTTTGGAGGAGAAGAACCTGCCTGCTGCTTTCCATGGCTGTTCAGGTTGGAGAAAGGCGGAGAAGTTCTGAGGAGCTCCGTCCTCCCTCCAACACCAGCAGGAGGAGGGGCCGGCGGTCCTGGCAGAGATCCCGAGGGGCTGGGCTGCCACCGACACCCAGGACAGGCTGGTGGCTGGGAGGAAACAGGTGTCAATGCAGGTCGAGGAGAAAGAGTGATTTGCATGGGGCTGAAAATTCCCCCTGCCTCTCGGGTTTTCCAGCTCAGAGCCTTTGAACCTTTCTCCACCTAAAAATAGATCCAGGCCGTGGTGAGGATGGTGGTGCCGGCCCTTTCTGGGGACTGGCTGCACGTGGCCCTGCCTTGGAGCGCAGGAGGCCCCACCCTCGGGTCCTGGGCTCCGGGAGGGCTGAGGAAGTCCTGCCCGCCTTGAATGATGGCCGGGGACAAGCTTCCCTCCCCCAGAGGTTGGAGAGCAGCCTTTGAGGTTTCCCTTGTCCCCTAAGTGAGGAGGCTGAGCCATCGCCACCATAAATTCCAAGCTATCTTGGGGCGGAGAGGAAGCCGTCAATGAAAGGTTCCAAATTATTTGGCTCATGAGAAGGCGGAGATGAAAGGGAGGATTTGGCGGCAGAGAACGTTCGCACTAAATCTTGCTGGGCTCTAACCTTCTTTTTCTGTGTCTGGTGTGGAGAGGAGGACCTTTCCAGTCTTCTGGGCCTGGGGGCTGAGGGCCCCGTTCCCCGGGAGAGTAAGAGGCCTGTGGATGGGGTGGCTGTCAGGCTGGTCACAGGGTCTGCGCTCATTCTGGCCCAAGTTCCCAGCCAGAATGTTTGCAGAGTGATGCGGGTGGCTCAGGAACCCCTCCCTGGTAGCCACACGGTTGGTTCACTTCCTCTCCTCACCTCTGAATGGGGACGGTGACAGAGTGGGGTGTTGGGGACTGGCAGTACTTAGCATAGCAGCACCACCGGCCCGGTAGTGAAGTCAGCAGCTATGAAGAGGGCTGGGGTTGGGTTTCCTTGACACCTGAGGGGCTGTCCCTGTGGTGACCTACCAAGGCCCTCCCTTCCCAGTGCACACTGAGGGTGCAGATCAAGAGACACCCTCCACACCAAAGTGAGGGGACCCCGGGCGGGACAAAGCGCTCAGATCAGGAGTCAGGACCCTGGACAGGGCTGAGGCCTTGAGGTCCAGAATCTCATCCACCCTTACCCAGTGGGTGGCTTTTCTCAGCCAGAGTGAAAGGTGGGTGCAGGCCTCAGGTCCCAGGGGCTGTTGGGATGGGCCCTGGGGGCCTGGGAACCTGGGCCAGGGTTTCTGATGGAAGTCCACCAAGCCTGAGGCCGACCCCCGAGGACACAGGTAGCTGCTTTCCTCTGCTTTGCTCGCCAGCAGCATCCCAACAAGGCTGAGCTCCGTGGCTCGGGAATTAAGTCGGCCAGGCTAGACCGGAAGGAGGAAGTGGGATTATTAGCCTGGCCCTGAGAGGCATCAGTGTAGAAATCGTGCGGAGGCCTTGAGTTTCTGACTTGACGTGTCTCACCAAATGGCATCACCGTTTGGTTGTAGGTGCTTAACACTTTGTAGGTCGCATCTGTCTGAATCTGATGGAGCTCACAGACCACCCTCAGGGATTCTGACTTAAACGGTCTGGGGCCCAGGTACCTGTGCTTTTTAAAAGCCTTCCCCCTAGAGACCAGGATTAAGAACTACTGTCATGGACCTTTCTCCTCAATTTGCTAAGACAGGAGTTGCAGCCTGGTTGGAACTTCCTGGAAGATCCTGAGGTTGCAGGGAGCGGGGGCGGGGGGGGCGCTTTCTAGTCCTGATGCATTGACCTAAACAAAGGCAGAGAGTGTGGGTGGGGGCAGTGCCCCAGCTCACCCCCACCCTCCTGGAGGCTAGGGGACTGACAGGTTGCTGCCAAGCCCTCTGCCTGGCAGGGCAGTTCAGGAAGAGACCTGCAGCCCTGGCTGCTGTGGCTCAGTGGATTGAGCACCAACCTGCAAACCAGAGAGTCCCTGGTTTGATTCCTGGTCAGGGCACGTGCCTGGGTTGCAGGCCAGGTCCTCAGTGTGGGGTGCATAAGCGCCAACCACACATTGATGTTTCTCTCCTTCTCTTTCTCCCTCCTACTCCCCCCCCTCAAAGTAAATAAATAAAATCTTTTTTAAAAAAGAGAGAGACCTGGAAGCTGCTGTGAGGCTGTCTTTCTCGGGCCAGAGCAGAGCGGCCTGTGGGGCCAGCCACTCGGTGGAGGTTTCCTCCAGGGAGGCTGCTTGAAGTAGCAAGCTGTGCTTTCAGAAAGTCAGATGCGCAGAACTCATTTAATGGGCAGGCCCATGGATCTTCAGGGTGCTGCTTAAACTCAGCTCACACGCAGAAGCATCTGATAGACCCTGCCTGGCGCTAGGGGCTGAGGCGCAGGCCCCATCCCCGGGGAGCTCATTCTCGGGCTGCAGCAGGATGCAGGTGCCCACACAGGAAAGTGCCCGTTACGAGGGGTGCAGCCAGCCCGGCCACTGAGGAACTCCGTGACCTTGGGCGAACGACTGTTTCTTTCTGAGCCTCAGCATTGTCATCAGTAGAGTACTGCCCTACAGCCTGCATGGACTTCCCAGTCTGTAGAGGTGATGGTCCTTTCCTGGAGCCTGTGAAGCTGTGGGTGGGGGTGATCCAGGAGTGAGCGGAGGTGACTCTGGTCTCCCTGGGACAGAGACCTGGGTGGTCCCAGAGCAAGGTGGGTGGGAGCTGGGATCCAGCTCTCAGCTCCTGTGTTGTTTTTTTTTTTTAGTTTATCTTATTTTTTATTATATTTTCCCATTACCATTTAACCCCCTTGTACCCCCCTTGCAATCACCGTACTGTTGTCTGTGTGCATGAGCCCGTTTTCCTTGTTGCTCAATCCCTCCGCCGCCTGACCTCCTTCCCACCCCACTAGCATCATCTGCTCTCCATCTATGAATCTGTCTCTGTTTTCCTTGTTAGTTGAGTTTGTTCATTAGATTCCACATATGAGTGAAATCATATGGTATTTGTTTTTCTCTAACTGGCTTATTTCACCCAGCATAATGTTCTCCAGGTCCACCCATGCTGTCCCGAAGGGTAAAGTTTTCTTTTTTTACAGCTGAGTAGTATTCTATTGTGTAAATGACCCGCGGTGGTTTTATCCATTCATCTATTGACGGACACGTGGGCTGTTTCCATGTCTTGGTAATGGTAAATAATGCTGCAATGAACATAGGAATGCTTATGTTCTCTCAAAAAGTGTTTTGGGTTCCTTCAGATATATTCCTGAAAGTAGAATCGCTAGATCAAAAGGCAGATCCATTTTTAATTTTTTGAGATATCTCCATACTGCTTTCCACAGTGGCTGCACCAGTCTGCAGTCCCACCAGCATTACAGAAAGGTTCCATTTCTCCACATCCTCACCAGCACTTGTTTTTTGTTGATTTATTGATGACAGCCATTCTGACAGGTGTGAGATGGTATCTCACTGTGGTTTTCATTTGC